TGTAAGAGCATTGAAAAGGTGTTTGGCAGATCACTATGCCCTCACTTTTAAAAAGCTAGGTTTTTTTATTTGAAAGCTTGTTGGGAACTTGACATTTAAATACTAAAACATTTCACCAGAGAAAGGTTTGCAGTTATCTGACGGAACGTGCCAAACTGAATTCAAGCTTGCTAATGTCAACAGTCTAAGCCAGGCTGGGTGTTATGCATGACTTAACATAATTTTAAAAGATCTGTACATTATCCATTGCGTGTTAACACATGGCTTTAGTGGAGCAGAAGTGGAAGTCAACCACAACCTCTGAGGCACAGGATGCTCAGGAGAGAAAGAACAGACTGCAGTGTGGACTTTTTTACATGGATCCACTGCAGCAGGTTGAAAGTGGAATTTAATTTTGATAGAGAAACTTGCATGCTGGCAGACACGAACCCAAAGAGACATTTCTCTAACACGGGCTCTGGAAATGTCCAATCTGTGCACATGCTGGCTGTGCTGCGTTCTGATGGGGTGTGTTTAATGAATAAGGGGGAAAAAGAGAAACTCCTCTATTGAGTTTAATTTAAAATATATACTTATTGACATTTTAGAAAAAGTGCAGCTTCAAATAACAGTCCTCAGGATGTGGTATGAGACAAAATGCCCTTGTGTCTCCTTCAGTGTCTGTCTCTGTCCCAACAGTCTGAATGCAAATAAATAATTCAGTTAATGAAGGTGAGTGGACAGTCAAGTCTCTTTAGACCAGGAAAGAATGATATAGCAGAGACAAGGGCAAAATACTGTGGTATTAATTATTTTACGGGCATTTATTTTAAAGTATAATTCTATTTATTTTTACATCCTCCACCTCAGATCAATGAGGCTGCATGTGAGCTGCAGCGTCAGCTCCAATGTTTGCATGTATCATGTTTACTCGTTGAGATCTTTTTGAGCCCATTTGTAGGTCAGTAAGGCAAATTTAACGACGGCGCAGGAGGCTCCTGGAGATAACGTTTCTATTCAAAGGTGAAGAGCCTGCTGAAACCCAAGCCCCAGGATTGATTCCTCTTAATGTGCTTTCTAAAGCTATCACCCATATGAAGGACGTAATCAATTCAGTTTTTAAAAATCATTCAAAAACAAACTTTTGCAGGAAATATACCTGGACTGAGAGGAGCTGCCGACACAGTGCAGCTGGAGAGTGTTATTGTACATGCAGTGTGGCCAGCAGCACCTATAAGTGAACTGTGAACATGAGTGGGGAGAAGCAGTGGAGAGAATGGGAATAGATAATCCATGTGTAAACGAAGGGAGCGTCCTGTGAGGTGTGCAGCAGCAGTAGCAGCAGTAGCAGCAGATGGCTGTTGTTTGGAGCTGTGGCGTAACAGGGCTCAGGTGTGTGCCCTAAAGCAGACGCTCCCTCTGAATACCCACAGTGGAAGAGGCAGTAAGGGTGAAAACTGCAGGAGAGGCACAGACTTAAAGGTTGATGGCCATCTCAGAAAGTAAAGAGTAGAGTGTGAATTTATGTTTAACTTATAATACCAACATGTAGGAATCTGTGTGTTCGATGAGTAGGTCACATGATGATCAGCTCAGCACAGCCAAACGTTTTCTTTTTTCATGCTGCTGTGGAATCATTTGATGGACCTGCCTGTCTGCTGCAACATTTTAACCATGTGAAAGCTTCTGAAGGGCTCAGCTCTCAAAGAATCAGCCACGTCCTCTTGACATTAAACAAAATCGAATCGCTGCAAAGCTTTAATGAAACTTGTTTTCACTTCAGAATAATAAGAATTCAAAACCTTCAGGAATAAAGTGTCACACCAGTAAAAGCCTTAAAATGTCACTGATGGAGGAAGTGCTCTCTTATTAATCGCCTTAAGGTTCTATAAATCAGTCAAACCTCAGCTATTATTGACTGCTCTGCCCTTTATTTTCAGTACCCCAAATTGACAGTTGTCAGTGGGGGGGGGGGGGGTGTTCGGTTCTGTTTTGCAGAACCTCTGGAGTGGCTGTTTTGTCAGTGCAATCTATAAATGTTATACAATGTCTGGAAATACATTCATGAAAATAATACATTTGTGGGTGGACTGAGAAAAAAGGTCCCGGCTGTGTAGAAACAATATGTTACGTAACGCATTGCTGAAAATCAACACTATGAATCATTTCACCATCACTTCAATGTGACACTATTGACTATTGTGTATGTGCATTTACAGTGGACATGAGGAGGTATGTGTGTTAATAAAGGGAAAAGAGCAGAAGGTCACAGGTCCTCCTCTGTCTGGAGCTACAGATTCGATTGTGATCTGCTGGTGCTGCTGAGAGATCCACCCGTTGGAATTTTTATTCTCCTGCTGTGAAATGTTTAACGCGTCCTTGGCATGTTTTCCTATTGAAGTGGAACAAAGCTATAACCAGGACCTGTTTATATGGGCATGAATTACCTTCTCTTTTTGTCCTGAGGCTACACATTCACAATCTATGGATCCTGCTGAGAGGATTATCATCATATTTCACTTTTTATGATCACATGTGCAACATCTGATGTTAGGTTGTGAGCTGTAGGGGACAATGAAGGCTGATCTCACTGCCAGAACACCTGCATGTAGCAGCTTATCCTCAGACGCCTGTACACCAGATTCTGTGTGCAGATCTGTTATCATGCCCAGCACTGTAATAACACTGGATGCATGTTAGTCATATTTTCAATAAATGCACGACATAGTGCAGTGTCACTGAGGTCAGTCTTTCTTTGGTTGAACAGCTTAAACCAGTTGGTGGAAGGCTGCTGTGACGCACACGCAGTACAGTGGGACGATCACACGTTAGTATGAGATGCTGATAAAAGTATGCTGAGGCTGAAGGGACGTGTCCATGTGATTCTATATTGGAAAAGCCTCCCTGTGTTGAGCCTGGCACAGAATGTATTAGCACACAGAGAGAGGATGTGACATGTGATTTTGTTTTCTCGATTTATTCATGAGCTGTAATTTAATTATTCTACTGTCAGCAAATCTAACAAAAAAGAAGACGCTCACAATGCACATGTTCTCCAGACTCTGTGTATAGTGAGTCTCTGAGGCAGCTGTTGGATACAGCTGCCTTTTATAAAAGACAGTCTCATCCCCTTGGTTTTATAGACTCGGTTTAGAATTAAACTCCCAGTAATCGAGTCTCAGCAAAAGCCAAAGCCCATCTTTACATCAGCAGCTGGACTCCATCCACTCCCCATCTGTACCAGCAGAGCACACTCCCTCCTCAGCAGCCTGGCCAATCACTTTCTGCGGAAGGGAGGTGGAAAAAAACTATCTGGCAGTGTTATGGGAGCGGATTTAACAAGTGTGTTTAAGAGTAAAGAACAACGACAGGTAGGAAATGAGTTTCTCCTCTTTTTGACTTCCTCGTGTCTCATGAGGGCGAATTAAAAGCAGTTGCATGTTTTTCTCTGTATTTTTATTTTCCATCAGCTGAGGATTGGTCTGACTGGAAGTGAGTGAGAGCGGTGAATGAGAGGGGTGTTCAAAGTAGACTTCAGGTTTAGTGCCAAGGCTTCACAGTTATGATAAACGAATCTGAAAGGTTTTTTATTCCTGCTGCTTTTGTGTTTTCAACGATCAGGCTGCAGATTTGCGGAGGAGTTTCATTCATTGTGCGGGTTTTTTAGTTCAGGAGCGTTTCTGAATGAAGTTGTTTCGCTCTCGAACGGACGTGTTGCTTTGCTGACATGATTTTCACACTGGAAGCTCGTATTTTAATCATGACGGACACGGTACGTGCTCAGATTTCCTTCAGTGAAGTTTAGCGTCGGTGGTTTGTGGGGTAAACATCTGGTTTCCACAGCTGCACATCTGGCGAGCAAATCCGCGGGCGCTGTCCGCGGTGCTGAAACACAAACGCGCGCTCGTTCATTTGTCTCCAAAATGATTCGACACCTACAGTAAATGATGCCGGTGGAGAAATTCAACGCCCCCACTCATCCAACCCTCCTCTTTAAAACAGCTAGTCAGGTCACAAACCTCCTGGCTCAAGGACACTTCAGCAGGGCGGATACCTGTTAGACTCCTTTTCTTCACTGTGAATTCCCTCCTTAACCTGTTTGCAATCTCAGAAAACAGCATTAAGTGATATACAGAAATTAATATATGAAGTGTTTGTATGTATTTTCAACCTTTATCATTTTACATTTGATAACATTCAAATATAAGAAGCATCATATTTTGTCCATCTCAAATCAATATATCCAAGGGTAGGTAAATAAGAAAAAAACTATATCCCCATTAATCATATTTGCTTTCTCATAAAACCGCATTTAGGTGATGTATAGAAATGAATATATGAAGTTGTATATTTCTTGCACAGTGTGGAAATTCGACCTTTTCTTCCTTCATACTTCACGTGACAACATTTATAAAGAGGAAGCATCAGGTTTTGTCCATCTCAAATTCCTCTTTCCAGGGGTAAATAATTTCCTATGAAAAATGTTTGCTAGCTCATAAAACAGCATGGAAGTAATGTAATAAGTTTTTGTATGTGTTTGTGTACATGGTGTTGTTCACCCTGCTCCTTTATCATACTGGATTTGATAAGATTTAAAAAGAGGAAGCATCAGATTTAGACCAATTCATCTTCCCAGGAGTCTGATCCAGTCTCTGATAAAAGCACCTCCCCACCACTTTCATGCCCTGTCTCTCGTCATTACAGAGGTGAGATGATATCCCTCACAGGGGGATACATCTGACAGCCACTAATAACAGCTTGGCTTCGGTTTGGTCCCCAGGGACTCAACTGGGATCTCTGTTCTTTTTTCTGAAATCTGCACCAAGTCAAAAGGGCCAGTCTCCTCCTGCAAGCGTGGTGCCACGTCATCGCTGAGATCCCTCAACTGACCAGTACATCTTCTCATCACCCCCCCCCCCCCCCCCCCCCCCCCCCCCCCCCCCCCCCCCCGGAGCTGTGTCAGCGGCCTCACATCACACTGCTTCGCTGGTTGGCAGCAGCTCCTCTTGCACTGAGCCAGGATGAATGACGTCCAGGAGGCCACCTCCCCTGCAACCAGCCTCAGCGGACCGGCTACCTGTGTCTCCAAAGTGGAGCTGCGTGTGTCTTGCAAAGCTCTGCTGGATCGAGACACGCTGAATAAATCAGACCCATGTGTCATAGTTATGGTGCAGACCAACGGACAGTGGACAGAGGTGAGTCTTCTTTTTATTTTTCTGGTCTGATGAAAAAAAACACAGTTGGCCAAAAGTGTGAGGCTGATTTCCTCTCAATCAGCAGTTCTAGCGGCAGCAGTATATAGCTGTTAAAAATTAATCCAACATAATTTATTAATCTCCCCATCTCCATATCATTAACCACATTATTTAATGTTCATTCATGCAGGCAAAAGATTTCAAATGATTCTGGACTACATTGCTGGATCATGAGGGGATCTGAGCAACTTCCCTGAGGTTACACAGAACTTTTGCACACAGAGACTCTGGGGATCAGCCCTCACTCCTTTGTCAGAAAAGGATGACATTTTCAGATTATACTGCAGTGATGGGTAATGAATTAGGATGATCACAAAACCTGGGTGGTCATACAAGATCAACCACGGACATAAATCTGTTTATGGTTTGCTAAACCTGCAGCTGTTTTCCACTATTTTTGGAAAAGATCATGTCTTTACACACTGACAGTCTCATTCTGAGTTTCAAAAAAACATGAAATGCGGTGCACATTTGCAGAGGAAAGACAAACTTTATCTCCACATCTAAATCAGATTGTGTTGTGTGCCCTGTAGGATTCACACTGTTTTAGTATGTGCTGCATGTTTCACTGGTTTACACACAACAAACAGCAGGTTGGTTTTTATTCACTGGGAGTTGTGCTGTAGTTGGAAATGTTTACTTTCTTGGATTGGTCCCAAGCTGATTTGTAGCGTAGGCAGCAGGTCGCTCATTTCCCTGTTAATTAAGCCATTAGGTTCTTTAGGGAAAGCCAAAACACAGGTCTCTATTAAGCAGGGGATGTGTTAAAATGTGGTCGAGGGTAACTAATTACATAGATCCTTTTTTTTCCTCCCTCTACAACCCTCATCTAACAAAAAGCTGCCTTCTCGTAGAAAATAGAGATGATAATTAACTGTAACTCTGCCAGATTCCTGCCACATGGGAGCCATTTGTTGAAGGAGCTCTCTGTTCTGTAATGTTTGGGCCATATATGAATGGAGCTTGTGGGTACTATTTTGAGGCAGCGATGATAAAGGCACTTGGACCGACAGAGATGAGCACACAGGTATGGATTTGTTCTATGTTGTAATTTGATAGGAGCTTGTTACATGAGATGACTGACCTGGGTTCAATGTAGCATGAGTGGTTATTTTTAGCTCCTCTAACTGAAGCAAATGCAGATGATATGAAATGACTGAGATCAATCTCTCTGTGCGAGTCTTGCCAGTCATCGCAGTGCACACAAGTCATCCAATCCTCTGCTGTCAAAGCCCTCGGTGCTGGGAGGCGTGATTGCTCGAGCAAGTTGTTTACTTACGTCAACGACTGAATAAGAAGCTGAGCCCACTCATATCACCACCATATTGGCCCTTTTTCTCTCTCCTGAGCTCCCGCTGCACGGCCCACTGACTCGCAAGAGCTCTTTGTTGAACTGCAGTGACTTCATTATTACCTTATTTCACCACCTTTTCACCTCGAACAGGAAATATAGAGGCAGGATGGGGATGAATTGACATTTTCTATGACTTCTTTTCTCTGGACTCTACGTGCTCGCATGATAATAAGCTGATTCAAAACCCTGATTCTCTCTGATATCCAACCTGAGCTACAGTGGTTTGTTATGATTGAGCTGAGCAGATAATGCTCTGCCGACCTGGCAGAACTGATTAGAGAAAGCCTTAATTCTGCATGTCAGTGATCTCTCTATAGTTTCTGGCCCCACAACAGCAACAAACAGGTGTCACAGACTTTGGCGCACAACCTATCATCCGCAGCACTGATTAGCTTTCATCAGCAAACAGTCTTATCGGACACATCCTGAATCTGTCCATCCAGATGGCACAAAGAGAGGAGGAGGAGACGAGACACGAAAAGACAATAAGGAGAGACAGGGGCGTGATGAGGACGAGGGAGCCAAGTCATACCTGGTAGTTTGTTTTCCTTCTGGATGTGTGTCAGGGTAAAATGGAATCAACAGAGCAATCACTGCAGACATCTACCATCTATTGCATTTGATGCCACATTGGTTTTATTGTTGTTTACTAGAGATATAATCTGGTTATTTATAAAACTCGATATGAATGAATGTATTATAATATAATATGTAATATTTTTTTTCAAAAGAGAGTATTTATCGCACCAAAAATATAAAAATATAAAGTAATGAAAAACACTAAGTAGATAAGTGGGCCAATTAAAACATGTCAAACACAATTCCACTCAGAAACATACTTATTGACAAAACAGGACATTAACTAACTAACCTCACACATAAGACAAAGGTAGGAAATATGAACTGGCTGATCAGAACATTTGCAAACATTAGGGGGGAGAAAAATAGACAACATGCAGCACTTGGTCTGGTCCATTTTACTGCTCTGTATTTAACCAGGCTCCACCCTCTTTCACACCTTTTGGCCAAACCAGGCAGGAAGTGCGATCCAGTGAACACACAGTAACTCAAACATAAAGATAACTGAACTAATACCACTAAAGATAGATGAATGTGTTGAAGGATAGAGAAGCCTTTTTAATTTAGAACCATCTGCCTTGAACCATCTGTGATTGTGTGTTAATTAAATTCAGATTGTTTTTTTCTATAAGTGTGAAAACGGGCATGAACCTAAAACTGAAACATTTCCTTTAAAAAACGTACTTTGACTTAAAAGACCTCTGGAGCTCTGCAGTGTTTGGGTGTGCACAGGGCGGACTCAAAGATGATTACACACAAATGGATGAATTAAACAATAATCTATTCATGATGTGAGAATGTGCCGTACAGGAAATGTGCAGGGAGCGGCGCTGACCAATAACACAAGAAAAACTATAAAACCAGAGCTGAGAGTCTAGAGTCCAGGGGAAAACCGCGTAGTGAGTCCTAAAGTGTTAATGGCATTTCCCAGGGAAGTAACATGGCTGGCTGAGCGTGACAGAAACTGGGTTGTGGAGATAAGGAGACAGGGTAGTGATCCAGCAGGCAGGGATGAGAAGACAATAAGGTGTTAGACGTTCTGGTGAGGGGGTAGTGATCCAGCAGGTCCCTCTATATACACTGAGTCCAGGTGAAGTGGTGATGGACAGATGAGAAGCAGGTAGGCTGGAGGAGACTGAAACCGATGGGTACACCCTGCAGCCACAAACAAAACAAACATACAGGCCCAAAACTAGAGAGAATCCACAAACTCAAATCTCATATGATTTTTAAATGTGTTCGACAGCTCCCCACAAAAACAAAATGAGGGAATAGCTTTCATTTCTCAAGTAAAGACTTCCAGAGATTGGATAGTCTATTACACGGAACAGTGATGCTTCTGGCTTGAGGTGAAACATCGTCTACTGAGATACTTGATATTTCGTCTCATCTGTAGATATGTAATAGAACGGTTTCAGTGTTTGCTGTGATTTGCATCCTTTTATTTAAAATGCTCTCTATAAGATAATCACTAATTGATTCCCATGGGGGAAATGTCACTATTACAACAGCACAAGTACACAATAAGAAAAAATAAAGATTTTTTTTAATAAAACAATTAAATAGAACACT